AAGTTTTTATTCAGACACAGAATATATCATTTTTATTATTAACTAGCACATGGACAGATTCTAATCTAATCACACATCATATTGAAAAGTTCATTCTGGACCTTTGAAATATATCTCAGCATACTTGTATTCATATTATAAAATGAGTCTGGCAGATTTGGGAGAAGTAGAGATCCTACATATTTTCATACCATCTCCTATTTGCATTTCATTAAAACATGTTAAGTAATGACATTGGGCATAGTTAACCTCAGACAGCTGGCAAGCTACATCATGTGAAAGAGTTGCAAAAAAACTCTGAAAATAATCAAGTCACCCTGTCTTGATGCTGCAGTATGCAATGACACTGCATCCTTTCCACTGAGCATCATTCATAGCATATTGATTCATCATCACAACATGACATTACAACATCTTTTACTTTCCCACCTACCCTTTCCCAGCTGCAGAAAAGAGCAGAAGAGGGTATTCTCCACCTTACTGTCTTTAAATACCTGCAGTTTTCACATTCTAGCAGGCATAATTGTAAGTAAACATGAGTCACAGAGGCTCATATGATAATGAATGAGTTTGCTCTAGCACTTTTTGCTTGTATCAGGCAGCAGTGGGAAGTAAGTGTATTTCCTACATTATTAATGCTGTACACTCCAATTCACGTGAAGAACGCTATGGGGCCCATGAGCTACATGACCAGATTTGTTGTGTGAAAATAGATAAGTAGCTCTAGAGAAGAGGCTTTTCTATCCTTCCATATTTGTAACTATGGGCGCTTTCAAATCAAGGTACTGTTAGTGAATCTTAAAGAATGTATCCAGTGATTAAAGACAACTGCACAAAGAACCAAACTCTTGTTACTAGAAATATTTGGATCATACCACTGATTTTAGTGCAGAATTTGCTTGATTCAGTGAGGGTTCTGTAAGCCATGCTCCGTCTTGTGCAACAACAGGAGAAAGAGAGAATCACTGTTGGGAAATGACAGTATGTTAATCTAGACTTCTGCCAAACGTTCCACTTACTAATCCCTCAAGTAAAGTGTCTTTCATAGTTTGAGCCTGAATTTTGTTATACCCATGTTTATTACAATTCTAAGAAGTTGCACTATGTAGTATGTAGTTATTTTGACTTTCAGTGTGCTCAATGTATTAAGGAAGTTTGTTCAGAGCTTTTAGATGCTGAAGCCAGTATACATGAATTACTTAAGAATACAAAATACTTAGCCGTTTTGTTAGTTAGCTGGTATGTAGGATGATAGCTAAAACCAAAGAAGAGTTGTTTTTTTTTAATATATATGAATTTAAAAGTAGAGGGTCGAAGCAAAATTTCTAATGCCCCCATTTTCTTTCTCTTATTTTCAAGGAATCACTACAGTTCTAACAATGACCACTTTAAGCATCAGTGCACGCCATTCTTTGCCCAAGGTGTCCTATGCTACCGCCATGGATTGGTTCATAGCTGTGTGCTTTGCCTTTGTCTTCTCTGCACTTATTGAGTTTGCAGCTGTCAACTACTTTACCAATCTTCAGACTCAGAGAGCAATGAGGAAGGCAGCCAGGGCAGCAGCACTGGCAGCAGCACTATCAGCAGCAACTGTACCGGCAGAGGACGAGATTGTCTCGGTAATTGCTTGCTTTTCTGATAACAAGCATCATATAGGAAGAGGCAGCTGAAGTAGTGAATGCAAAACAATATTAAAGTGATCTTAACCTGAAACAGATTGTGTAACTAGATCATGTCTATTTATCAAAGACATTGTTCTTATTTCAGAAAATGAAAAGACTTCATTTATTCATACTGTTTATTTAAATTTGAGATATGATTTACTAGAGAGATGTTTATTTGGTAAGATATTTAAGGAAAGCTGTTAGACTGTTACCCATAATACTTCTCTTGAGCAATGCTGTAGGCAGTGTGGTCAGGCAGCTGTGGTTCTCTCAGTAAGTCTGCAGAATCTGTGGGACACTGTACAATGGAATGAACACGTGCATTGGCCAGATGATTATGGGATCACTGTAGTACACTGGTACATACCGTAAATGGGTCATCTGGAAGAAGAGGAATTAGCCTTTGCATAAACTTGGCATCTGTTACTTTCATAAAAATCTGTGTTGGTGGAAGCTTGGAGAAAAACATAAATGTAAAGATTAAGGATAGATTTGACTACATGTGAAAGAGAGGAAGACTTTCTAGTATCAAAAAAAGTACATCAGAATTGCTTGTAAATATTATTCCTTACATCTCAGGCTAAGTAATGAATGCTGTCTCACAACATATGTTAATGTATTTATCACTATAGCCCTCCTGTTTTCAAAATCAGTTTCATTACCACCACATTTCTGTTTTTGAGCAGAATAGCAGAATTTGAATGACCTTCTGCAAAACCTTTGAGTCTGTAGTTGAATAAGGAAGTCAATCTAAGAGCTATTGGATATCAGGGCAACACCTTACCCACCATATAGTAATTTTTCCACTTTTGCTTATAAACAGCAGTTAAAGTTACAACATCTAGGTACATTCAAACCATTAAATTCATAATTGATAAGTTCCATATAATAGCAAAACCAAAGCTCCACAGCATCTTGCTACTGGTCCTCGTTGGAGCTAATCAACAAATGTTCTTCACAGGAAGCATTATGCTTGTAAGTCATATTGTATTTCGCTTACAATTTTTTTAATATTGAAAAAAACCGAAGACAATTGTAAGATACAATAAAGAAGTGCATTTTATTTTTGCTAAGTATATAAATGCAGAGAGAAGCAAATCTTTATGCATTTTAACTCAGAACCACAGCTTTTTTTTTTAAACCACAGTTATATAAAGCAAATACAAAAGAAAGTCCAAAGAATTTCAAAGGAGCTTGGAAGCAAGTGTTTGCAGTATCTTGCACTGATTTTAAAGTGACTGAAAGGCTGATTTAGTTTTGGCAATATCTGCAATGTTCATATCTACATTTATTTTAACTAGTAAACTTTTATAATTATATAAATAAAAAACAATGAGAGGAAATGAGAGTAAGCATTCGCCAATATTTAGGACATACTTCCCCCCTCCCCAATATCATGATATTTGATTGAGAAGTACTCTGGACTGAATGAGCAGAACATTGCAACAGTAAAATAGTGTAAAATAAGAAAAATACTGTTAAGACTGAAGGAACTTTAAAATGTACTAAAGCTTCATTTTTATTCTTTTGTTGACTTTTTTTTGAGGGCAAGCTATCAGAAAAAAGCTGAAGAGATCACTTGGCTTTATGTAGCGTGAGGAAAATATTGATAGCTGCTACATAACGAAAAGGAACAACAGCTCTGATTTTTCCTACACACATTTCCTTATTCAAGTTTGATTTAATCATAGTGAGATTTCCAAGAAGGAGAAAAAAAAACCCTCCTTTTTTTTCACTGAAGTCCCTGCTGAGTGATATAAAAACAGCTTGGCCTACTCTGCACGTGCTACTGCTGGTGAATTCACAGCAGATGCTACAAAGCCATCGCCATCCTCCCCCCCCCAATCTCCAGAAGACACCTGTTTCAAAAAATAACCCTCTGCATAATCCCAGATATACTAGAACATACTCCTGATGATTGTGGCTCCTCTAGTACTTCTGGATGAGATTTAAATGGTCTCTGTATCATTGCAGACCAAGCTAAGCACAAACTACAAAATCACTGTTGAACAAATGAATAAAAGAAAAAGAAATTAAAAGACTTCAAGTTTCTTATCAAGAGTTTCAGCCACAAACAAGCACAGAGCCAAACTGAAGACACATTAAATACTTACTTGTTAGCTTTTCCAAGTAAAAACAAGCAAAAAAAAACACATCTAGGAAGCACACTGCAACCATTTCCTCAAGAAAATTATTTATAACTACCTAACAACATCTAGATCTAGAAGAGTGGTAAACCCCGTAACATCAAGGTCTCAAGGTAAACTCAATCTCTAAAACAGCCCACAGTGTCCACAAAGTTCTATAGTCCTGATCTTGCTCAAAGCTCATATTATCCAAGACAGTAATTTTCAAGCCCTGTAAGTCCACCACTTTTTTCTCACAGCATCAGTTCTCTATGAGAACCCACCTCTGCGGTAAAACGAAAAGCAAAATCAGAGATCACAAAAATGAAGGATACTTACAATTGAAGGAAAGACTATGTAGTCAAAATGGCTTCTAGAATAATTAACTATTGGATTTAAAAGCTCCCATTCCAGAAGGGCATGCTGGAAAAAAAGGAGTAATTACAGAATAACAGATTTTAAGAAGCTTTTTTTTTTTTCTTTTTTCTTTTCTTTCTTTTTTTGTGTGGTGAAGGTAAGGGGCAAAGAGCTTTTCTACGTTGTCACATAGATGGATATACTGCAGTCAGTGATATAATTTCAGCTGAAACAGACCTGAACTAGCTAATTTGGAGTGTAGTTAGGACAGGCTAATTGCGTGAGTATATGACCATTTCCTCAGAATTGTCATCCTCTACTGAGCTTTGTACTTCTATAGTTACATTACTGGTTTAAGGCAGTTATGTTTAAATAAGGCATACAGCATAATACTGAGTTTCTTTCTTATTGTAGATTTAGGAGCTGTTTCTGAGGTCCTGATTTCCCTTTTGTTGTCCCATACCCCCCAATTTGTTCCATTTGTTTGCCTCTGAATTCTTTCATCACTTTTCCGTCCAGATTTTTCTTTTTTGCTACAATGCCCAATTCTTATTCTTTACTCCTTGTGTAATTTATCTTACCTCTCCTGCTCTTCTTTTTGCCTTTTCTCCCCATTTACTCCACCTCTCTTCTTAAAATGTTGTTTTCTAATTCACTAGGAAAAAAAACTATTAGAATGCATGTCTTATGCATTAAAATGTTTTTTAACTGTCTACTTTATTTGATTTTTAAAAAGTAATTAAAATCTTTCCCTTCTTTTACACCCTGGGCTTTGGTACCTTGAATTTTCTAATCTGTGAATTTTTTTTATTTCTTTTTGCTCTTTTAGATAGGATAGTCATGTTTTTTATCCACTTGTAATGCTAGTATTTTTATTTGTGATTTTTAAGTGCATGAAAGTTGTCAGAATTTTAGCTATATCAAGGGGCAGGTATAGGATGAAGAGTAGTGAACAATGTGTCAAAAATGCATATTGTCTTCTGCATTTATAGAAGTCAGATGGTATTTTTACATTGAGAAAATTTCTGAAGACTGTAAAGGTTGACTTAGTTTTGGGAGTCCGTTTGTAAAAATAAAAGTGAAAAAGTGAGATGTACTTACTTGAAAATTTTCATGGCTATACAACTGCCAATGGAACTCTGCTACTAGTAGCAACATTAAGAGTAACAACATAAACTATATGTTTTTAATAATCTATTATCTGAAATTGCCTGAAGAGTGGCTAAAGAACATTGTGGTGGGAATAACCTTAGGCTGTCTGAACTAGTACTTTCTGTATGACAGGAGACCCATTCCCCTGCTTTGTGTAAGAGGAGCCCAGGGAGACAGTTTTGGTATAAATGAAAATTCAAAGGAGTTATAAACAGCCAGTTAGAAGCTTTTGCTGCTTGAGTGAGGGCCTAAACTCATCAAGAGAAACGTGTTTACAGAATATATTCAGGTTTTTTTAAATTCCAAATTAACTATGTTTCTGGAGGTGCGGGGATCTTTCAAAATACTATCAAAAATCCTCCTTCCCCCTTCAGTCCAGTTCATTTTATTTAAAATCTTGCTTTATTCAAATGAACAAAACTTTTTCTCATGGGTTTTTATATTGTAGCCAAAAAACCTGTCCACTCAGAAAATAAAGATGGCAGAAGACCAAATTCTGCTCTACTGTACTAATGAAAGTAGGATAAACTCTGCTAAAGTCATTGGACTACACTGGTTTCAGTAAGAGAGACAATGGTCTGATCATGTGCTCAGTTAACTGATGACAGCCCAGCATGCCTGTTCTGGTCCGGGAAAGCCATTCTATTTACCTCAGTTAACTGAGAGTAGAGTTTGGCTTGCTCTCTTTGTCAGCTGCAGGCAATCCCTGTGTGAAATACAAAACTATGGGTGTTCCACTCCAAAATACGATGGCAACAAGCTGAGCAGTCATCTGGACCCTGACAGAAACCTGTTTTATTCATATGGTGACCAAGCTTGTTCTAGCATGCCAAAAGCAAATGTTATATATATACATAAATATAAAAAACATTATGGCATTTAGCTTTTTAATCCATTTCAAATATGTATTTTCTGTATCAATCATATTGTTTCATCATTATGGCTTCCTTTATCCAGGAATATTCCAATACTGGAAATTGCAGGGGAAAGGGAATTGGTGCTACTGTCTGGAGTGCACCATTTGAGGTAATGCTCTGCAAGATGGTCAGGGAGTACCCACCATGGATCAAAAGACATCCTTTCCATGTGAGAGACTACATATAAAAGACAAAAGATTGTTACAGGGTGGTAGCTTGATTACAGTTATGTTCTAAAAGACCTGTTGTTTTAACAGAAAACAGCACAGAGCAGTGAAATACTGCTGGGAGAGCTTCCTTCTCCCTACAAATAGCCCTGTCCCTGTGTTTCAAAATAACATGGCTTGGGCAGAAAAGGATCCTCATTCCCTTTAGCAACCCTGCCCAACTGCAGAGCAGCCGT